TGGAATTAAGGGTTTCAAGTTACTTGATGTGACTTCTAAACAGATCTTTGTCTCTAGGGATGTTATCTTCCACGAAGAAACATTTCCTTTTCATATCATTATCCCTTCAGAACAAATACTTGATCCATTCCCTGACTTAGTACTGCCGTCTTCCACTCTATCTGTTCCTAGTACCATGACTGAAGATATTACTTCTACACCAACAAGTCTTGCTCAATAGGAAATCATTATACCTGAAGCTAACATCTCTTCATCTCTTCATGAGGCACATCACTCTACTGATGTTTCCTCTTCTTCTTTCGATGAAACAAATAGCCATGTCTTGCCTGATCAGATAGACTCTTCCAACACATCTAATGTTGTCATTCGAAAATCCACCAGATCTTCCAGAACCCCAAAATACCTCCATGATTATCATTGTAATTTGATGTCTCATGAAAATCAGTCCTTAACCTATCCTTCCTACCATATTGCCAATTTTATTTCCTACAAAAATCTCTCACAATCACATCAACACTTTGCTTTATCCATTTCTTCTCATATTGAACCTCAGTTCTTCCATCAAGCTACAAAATTTCCTCACTGGAGTGATGCCATGAAGCTTGAGTTAGCAGCAATGGAAGATAACCATACTTGGTCTATTGTGAAATTACCTCCAGGTAAACATACTGTGGGTTGCAAATGGATATAAGAACAAATTTCGATCTGATGGTTCACTTGAAAGACATAAGGCATTATTGGTTGCAAAGGGGTATACCCAGCAAGAGGGACTGGATTATTTTGATACATTTTCACCTGTTGCAAGGGCTGTGACTGTTGAATTGATGCTCAGTCTTGCAGCTCACTATAATTGGCATTTAACACAATTGGATGTAAAAATGCTTTTTTGAATGGGGATTTATTTGAAGAGGTGTACATGGATCTCCCACTTGGTTATGACTTGCTGAGGCCTTCGAGTCAGGGGGAGAAATTGGTGTGCAGGTTACACAAGTCCATTTATGGGTTGAAACAGGCATCGAGACAGTGGAAGTCTAAGTTTACTCACTCTCTTTTAGGTCATGGTTTTATACAATCAAAGGGAGATTATTCCCTCTTCACAAAAGGCTCAGGACTAAACTTTGTTGCCCTCCTGGTCTATGTTGACGATATCGTGATAACAGGTCCCAACATCGAGGTGATTAATTCTTTGAAATCATTTTTACAATCACAGTTTAGACTCAAGGATCTGGGAGTCTTGAAATATTTTTTGGGGATTGAGATGGCCAGATCTTCCCCTGGCATTGTTATATCCCAAAGACAGTACACGTTGCAATTGCTTGAAGATGCTCATTACCTGGATTGCAAACCGGTAACTAGTCCCATGGATCGTAAGTTTACTCTCAGTAAACATGAGGGAGATTTATTGCATGATGCGTCTCATTATAGGCAACTCATTGGGAAACTTCTTTACTTAACTCTGTCACGGCCGGATATAACCTTTGCGGTTCATAAGTTGAGTCAGTTTGTTTCTCAACCGCGGTTACCACATCTGAAAGCAGTTCACCACTTGCTGCGATACTTGAAAGGTCACCCTGGCCAAGGTCTTTTCTTTCCATCACAACTCAGCTCCAATTCAGTCATCAACATTAGAGCCTTCTCGGATGCTGATTGGGGATCATGTGTGGATACCAGAAAATCCACTACTTGGTTTTGTGTCTTTGTTGGTAGTTCTATGATTTCCTGGAAATCCAAGAAGCAGTCCACTATCTCTCGTTCTTCAGCGGAGGCAGAATACAGGGCACTTGCCTCCACTGTAAGTGAAATCCTATGACTCAACCAGTTATTGAATGACTTCCAAATTCGCACATCTGCTCCTGCTGCTATCTATTGTGACAATCAGGCGGCCATTCAAATTGCAACAAACCCAGTTTTCCACGAGAGAACAAAACACATTGAGGTGGATTGCCACTTCATTCGTGACAAGATCAGTGCTGGTGTTATCAAGTTGCTTCCCGTTCGTTCACGGCATCAGCTAGCTGACATCTTCACCAAGCCCTTGCCTTCTTCATGTCTTGCTCCTTTATTGTCCAAGATGTGTGTTAAGGATATTTACGCACATCTTGAGGGGGAGTATTAGAAATGATTATTTCTAGCTTACTATAATTAGGAGATTAAGCTTTGTTTACTTTCCTTTTCCTGCTGTTAATTAGTTGTGCCAGCTGTCATTTTAATTCCCGCCCATTTTCTGTTTTGCACTATTTAGCCTTTGGCTACCGAGTTAATTCAGCATGAAGTGTATTCATCTTCTCCAATTTTAGCTCCTCTTCTCAGCTTCAATATTTATGCCTCTCAACTTATGTACAATGTTATGGTAGGAGCAGATATGGTCCTCTTGGAAAACTTACTAAGGGCCAACATTCAAAAAGATCAGTCGATTATCTTAACTTTGCCACCGAGTATTCACCGGTTTATGCAGCACCTCAAGAGAGATTAAAGGAAGCTGACAAGATTGTAAATTTGCCTGGACAACCAAAGGTGAATTTTTCTCAATATTCAGGGTACATAACTGTTGATCCTAAGGGCGGTCGAGCACTCTTTTATTATTTTACTGAGTCTGAAGACCCTTCTAGCAAACCGCTAGTGCTATGGCTAAATGGAGGTAAGATTATTGAAAGTGCTTTATATGAGCTTGCATTGGGGTTCTTTTAGCAATCCCAAGTGCCCTTGGGACTGCACTCTGCAGGACCTGGCTGCTCTTCAATAGGAGGTGGAGCAATGATAGAACTTGGACCTTTTCAGGTAAATCCTGACGGAAAGACACTACGTTATAACAATTATGCATGGAACAAAGGTGAGAACTTGAATATGTAAAACAAGTCATCTACAAGTATTCATTTGAAAGATTGACCTGTTAAGAAAATTATGTTGCAGTGGCAAATGTCCTCTTCTTAGAATCTCGAGCAGGTGTTGGATTTTCGTATTCGAATACAACATCAAATTATGTTATCGGGGACAAAAAAACTGCAGCAGATTCATATACATTTTTAATTAACTGGCTCGAAAGATTTCCCGAGTACAAAACCCTAGATTTCTACGTAACTGGAGAGAGTTACGCCGGACATTATGTACCTCAGCTTGCTGACTTAATCCTCGAAACCAACAAAATCAAGAATCAAACTGTCATTAACCTTAAAGGAATTGCTGTAAGCTTCTTGATAGAATTTGCTGACTGACTATTTATTTTATGTTCTTATGCATGGAAAGTTGTAGGATGAATATGGACTTGATTTTTCAGATTGGGAATGCAAATATTGACTATACAGACAGGTGGACTGGCACTTATGACCATCACTGGACAAGTGCTCTCATATCTGATGAAATTCATGAAGGCGTAATAAAAAATTGCAATTTTTCTTCTGCTGCAAACTTTACAGAAGTCTGTCAAGAATACACAGATCGAGCCGATAAGGCCATAGGCAACATCTTCATCTATGACATTTATGCTCCCCTGTGCTCTTCCTCTTTGAAAGCTCCCTCGGTATATCTAATTACTCATTCTTCAGAGTGTAGCTGAAGCTGTTATAGAGAGGGCTAATTTTATCTCATTTCAATATTGTCTTCAACATATATTATTTTCTCGAATAATAGTTTTCTCCTTTCCTCGGCATAGTAATCTAATTCCTTACCTTTCATTCATGTATCAAAGCAGGTATCAGGTTTCGATCCATGCTCAGATGATTATGTCTTCGCCTATTTAAACACCCCTGAAGTGCAACGCTAACATCACCGGAGTTCCAGGACCACGGGCCGATTGCAAGTACTACACTTCTCCACCTGAAACATTTTTTAAAAATCATTCTCATGTAATAATTAATCAAATAAGTTGCTAAAGATGACCTAGAACTAACTGGGCTCCATTTCTATACAGTCAATCCATATTTGATAACTGGCAAGACATGCCGGACACAATATTACCTACTATAAAGAAGCTGATGGCTAGTGGCATTAGAGTTTGGATCTACAGGTAACATACCTTTATTTGTGCTGATATTTATTCATACAATATTTGCTGCAGTTTTATTTATATCACAAGAAAATACTCTGAAAAGTTCTACTAGTTAATATTATGTTGCATAGGGCACTTTTACGGTGTAAATTTTCAACGCACCTGCAGTGGAGATACAGATGGGATATTGCCAATTACAGCAACTAGGTATTCAATGCGCAAACTTGGGTCGCCTGTAAAGACTCCTTGGTATGCCTGGGACTACCAAGGCTAGGTAATTAAAAAAATCTGATTTTATCATAATGTTTAATTCTTGTCCATCCATACGAGGAGCAGGACATTTTGTTCCCAGATCACATCCTGAGCGCTCACTTGACTTGTTCTCCTCCTTCTTAGAGGGAAAGCTTCTTCCGGCACAGAGCTAATCTTGAGTCGAGATATAAGTGATTTTTTTCTTTCTGTATTGATAAAGTATAATTCAAAATAATGGAATTCAAATTTACAAATAAAAATTCAAAATTTGAATAACATGGTATTACTTATGATGCAAAGATTTGGAACTACTTTATGTAATAATGATCACTTGCCTCAAAACTAGTTGTTCTCCTGGTCTAGATTTTATACTTCTGCTTGTTCATTGCAAAGACTTATTTGAAGCCTTAAAATGCAGAGTATCGTGATGTTGACATAATTTGTTATCCAATAATATGAAAGTGGCTGCAAAAAGAAGAATATTAACTGTGGAACCCTAAACTACATAACCTTAACAAAGAAAATGGAGTGAGTACATAATACAAGTCATTGAAAATATACAAGGGGAGAAATATTCTAGGATGTCACCGTGTTTAACAGTTCTGAGAATTAAAGTTTATGTATACACACGTTAATTTTGAGATTAGCTTTATACGTCCATTTCCATCACTCAGTTCATTTCGTTGCTAGATCTTGTAGAAGATATTAGCTAATCACAAGCGATTTTTTAGTTTTTGTTCTAACTCTCTTCTAACCTCAGTTACTATCAATAAGATGAACAAGTCTCTTTAGGCTACCTAAGACATGCTCCAACGACCTATGTCGTCCTTTAATATATTTGTTGGGACTTTTAACATCTTGGATTACTTTTATTTTCAATGCTCAATGCTTGAAAATAAAAGTATATATTTGAAAACTGTTAGTTCTTATGTTCAAACTTCTTGCATTTTTAATATGAACTGGCATATCGAGCTAGAAGAGTCATGTTTTTGGACAAGACGAACACAAAGGGCATATTTGGTTGTTCTACTAGACTTTACATGAACAATATTTTAGCATTTTTTACTTCTTCATTGAGCATTGTACGATCCACCATACTAAACAGGCCAAAATGCACATAACCAACCTGCAAATCTTCTGCATACAAGTTGGTGAGCTTGGATTTCATCAATTTGGAACTGCAATTTGGTTTTTTTATATTTATTTAATGTCATTTCTTGATTAAATTGTTGTTGATTACTCAGTCAGGTATTGTTTTGTACTCCTACTCCTTCAAATGGTCAGGCGAGAAAATCATTTTAGTCTATTGTGTTTTGTTTTTCGGTCCAAATACACAGCCTATCAAGGTTTCAAGAAATAGACAAGATTGTATCACGAAAATTTTCGCTGGAATCAAATTAGTTATCTTAGCTACTGCTCTTACCAAAAATCGTCACCTATTGAGTCCCGAACTCGATAGAATCAAATTAGTTATCTTAGATACATATTCAGGCAACCAAATTAATTTTGCGCTAGGAGACAATCTAATTACTGAACTGTTTGAGCATATGGTGTCAGATTTCTTGAAGATTGTAAAAAACCAAGAAAGCATTGTGAAGCCCGCTGATCTGTTAGCCCCCATTGTGAAGTTCGGTGTTATCCCTATGTCTTAACTAAATACTTCTGAAGTTAGTGAATATCAATGAGGTGTAAAACAAACAAGAACATTCAAAATATGATGTTTTCAATGAATTCCGTTCATTGTTTTAAGTGATGCAGAACATATATAAGAAGAAAAATAACAAGAATGGACATTATTCCCACCCTGATCTCTGTTGCATTGCAAAGATGAGAGGTGGATTTGTTTTAGTCCTCTCTCTTTTGTACCTCGTAGCTTCTGTACAATGTTACGGTGGGAGAGGCTATGACCCTATTGGAAAATTTATTAAGGATCGACGCTCAAAAAGATCAGTCAACAATCCTACCAAGGATCTAGTGTTGACTAATTATTCACCAGTTTATGTAGCACCTCAGGAGGGAATAAAGGAACTTGACAAGATATTATCTTTGCCTGGACAACCAAAGGTTAATTTTTCTCAGTATTCTGGGTACGTAACTGTTGATCCTACGGCTGGCCGAGCACTCTTTTACTATTTTAGTGAATCTGAAGACCCTTCCAACAAACCACTGGTGATGTGGCTAAATGGAGGTAACACAGATAATTTTACTGGTGGTTCTTTGCATGTTGCTTATATACTTTTCTCGTCATTGATACTCACAGGCCTCTTGACATGCATATTTCTTTACACAGAAAGTGAATTTTCAGAGTGGTGATGCTATGTAGATCAATATGTTAAGGAGTCGCATGAGATAAAAATCTAATGCACGGTTTTGGATGTGTTTTATACACGGTATTGGAATGACTGCACAACACGAGAGACCAGATTTTTTCTCATTTTAACTTTGTCAAGTATTGTCTAATTTAATGTACCAAAATAGTTTCCTAAGAATGCAAATAAAATTAACTTAAGGGCTTGCACTAAAACCTACTAGTTTGGCTAGAAATGAAGAGGATAAAAACATTGCTAGAGACCCAATTGTTTCACTTTGATCACTGAATTTTTATTTTTTCCCAAGTTAGTCACTGAACTTTGAATTTTTAATTTTGTTTAGGCACTATATCTACCTTCTGTGTTTACTGAAGTAACATAAATACTGACGCGCTTCACGAAAATGATGACATGAAATATGTGCTCTGTTTTTATAATCCAACTAGGAAAAATCTGTTTGTGTATTGTTTTATCTTCCAACTAGGCATTATATGTTTGCGCATCGTTTAAAGGCTGTCATCTCTTTTATAAGCTTGCATTCACCTTCTTTTTGCAATCTCAATTATCCTCGAAACTGCAGGACCTGGCTGCTCTTCAATAGGAGCTGGAGCATTGACTGAACTTGGACCATTTCGGGTCAATCCGGATGGCAAAACTCTATGGTATAACAAATATGCATGGAACAATGGCGAGTACTTGCATCCTTAAAACAAGTTATCGAGAAGTATTTTTTTGAAAGAACCGTCTTATAAAAATTCTTTTTCTTGAAATGCAGTGGCAAATGTCCTTTTCTTAGAATCCCCAGCTGGTGTTGGGTTTTCATATTCCAATACGTCATCAGATTATGTTACTGGGGACTCAAAAACAGCAGCAGATTCATATACCTTTCTAGTTAACTGGCTGGAAAGATTTCCCGAGTACAAAACCCGTGATTTCTACATAACAGGAGAGAGTTATGCCGGTCATTATGTGCCTCAACTAGCTGATTTAATCCTCGAAAATAACAAAATCACAAATAAAACTGTCATTAACCTGAAAGGAATTGCTGTAAGTTTTCTCATACAATATGCTGCCTGTTTATTCAAGTATATATTTTTTTATCAAGAATTATAAGATGAATACTGAGGTGATTTTTCAGATCGGGAATGCATACATTGACGATGCAGATACAAATGCAGGCACTTTTGACCATTTCTGGACAAGTGCACTCATTTCGGATGAAATTCATGAAGGCATAATCTCAAATTGCAATTTTTCATCGCCTGCCACTTCAGAAGTCTGTTCCAATTACACAGAACAAGCCTGGGAAGCCATAGGCAACATCTACGGCTATGACATTTATGCGCCCTTGTGCTCTTCCTCTTCAACTGCTCCCGGAGTATATCCTAACACTTATTCTTGGGTATATATTATTCTCTTCCCCAAATTATAATCCATTCCGTTCATCTTTGGAAGCAGGTATCAAGTTTTGATCCATGCTCAGGTGATTACGTTTTCGACTATTTAAACACTCCTGAAGTGCAGAAGGCACTTTATGCTAACATCACCGGAGTTCCTGGACCGTGGGAAGCTTGCAAGTACTGCACTTCTCCTGAATTTTTTTAATAACTCTTATCATACCATGCTAGATCATATCAATTTTCTAAAGACTTATTTTAAGTAAAAACACTCATTTTCTATACAGTGACTTCATCGATAATAACTGGCAGGATGCACCATTTACGGTGTTACCTATCATAAAGAAGCTAATGGCTAGCAGTATTAGAGTTTGGATCTACAGGTAAGTTACCATTGTGAGTGTTAATCCTTCACTTTTGTTTTGTGGCTGTACTTGGAAATTTTCCAAGGAAGAAAACTATGTACCCGAATTGCAGTTTATAATTATAGTGGAGAATTAGTTCAGAATTCGTTCGTGGTTGTTGGGATATTGCCGAACCTTCTAAAAACTTGTCTTTGATAAGGCTCACTATTTCTATCAGAATATGCTTATTTGTCCATTTTCATTCACGCAAAGAATGACAATATACGCGATTTTGTCGATGCATTCTAAGAGTAAATTTTCAATGCACCTGCAGTGGAGATACAGACGGCGTAATACCAGTTACAGCAACAAGGTATTCAATGCCCAAACTTGGGTCGCCTATAAAGACTCCATGGTATCCCTGGGACTCCCAAGGCGAGGTAATTACGAAAATACTGTTCTTTTAACACTGTTTAATTCTTGTCCATCTCTACTAACACCATTGCTCTATCACTTTCAAGGTTGGAGGTTACGTAGTTGACTACCAGAATGTGACATTTGTGACCATAAGAGGATCGGGACATTTTGTTCCTAGTTACCAGCCTGAGCGCGCGCTCATCTTCTTCTCGTCCTTCATTGAGGGAAAGCTTCCTCCAGCACAAGGGTAAACCGGGAATCAAGATAAACGCGAATATAATGTTTGCATTGTTCTTTTTCACAACTGTAAGATAAACAGTGTCCATAGTCTTAGTAAAGACTGATATCAGAATGCAATCAATTGATGGCATTTAATTTTCTGTAAACACTGAAAGTTTGAATACAGCTTTATCTTGGATGCAAAGATTTGAGAATATATATGTGATGCATGATAGGATCTACTTTATGTACTTATAATCGTAATTGGTTAATCTAAACTTTCTGTGATGATATGCTTCATTCAATGGATATTAAAAATTAGGGTTTCATCTTAAAATGTCAATCTTATTAAGAGGAGTAACAAAATCCTTTATAAGTTGGTTTATGTTTACATCTTTATTCGATGTAAGATTCTATCCCTTAACATGCCCCCGAGTGGCTCGTTTGAGCAGACCAATCTTGAAATCCCTATGCTCATTAGAGCTTAATGAGCTCTGATACCATAATCGAGCTTGGGAATTAATGATTTTCTCACAATATATTATTCACAGAATAGGACAGATATATATACAATGCTGGTGCTAAACATATAAAGAAACAGAATAATTCAATATCTAATTATCCTAATTTAGAAGATTATAAGAATAATCTAGAAAGTAAAGAATGAATAAAATCAATTCCGGAGATGTCCTATTAGGCCCCCTCAAGATGGTGGTCCAGAGGAGACACCAATCTTGAAGACTAGGTCACGCAGTCGAGTCCGAGAAAGAGGCTTTGTAAGAGTGTCGGCAAGCTGATCAGCGGAAGAGACGTGGGACATGCGAAGCATAGAGCGTTGAACAAGATCCCGGACAAAATGATAATCAGTGGAGATGTGTTTCATGCGAGAGTGAAAACTAGGATTGGCACAAAGATAAGTGGCACCAATGTTGTCACTGTAATCGAGACTTTCTGTGATGATACGTTTCATTCAATGGATATTAAGAATTGTGATTCCATCTTAAGAGGTCAACCTTATTAAGAGGAGTAGTTCAATCCTTTATAAGTTGGTTTATATTTACATCTTTATTCGATGTAAGATTTTATTCCTTAACAATGGAGTCGACATATCTATGATGATATGTACGAAAATTCTTGTAACTAAAAAAATCACTTTTGAGACATGGTGTATACTGTTATCATAATCAAGACAAAGATGATGTAGAACCACTAGTTCATTATTTAATGGATCTTTGCATTCTAATACTCTATACTTTGAACGCCCATCTAACGTAAAACGTGTGGTGAATGGGCGGAACAGCCAATAGGGAACAAACCGTAGTAATTTTGGCAAAAGGGAGCATAAGTAAAAGAAATCACTTATGAGTGAATTTACATGTAAGAAAATTCACTTATAAATAAAAATATTTTAATAATTTTTTTACTATTAACTCGTACATTTTTCTAATACGGTATTTGATACCATATTAGAATAATACATCATATTCATATCTTCTTTATTCCTATCCTTACTTGCCTAGTCTAATTAGGTGTACTGAACATACCCAAAATTCAACTCATTTCCGTAAGCAGATATTCAGGCATCAAAATTCAATTGTATTATTCATTTTCTAGATTAGCTGAGATAAAACAACAAAATAAGCTCATTCCAAATAAAATTGTGATAGCCAATATAAATTCTTTGTCGCACTTCATTTGCTACATCTATTGGATGATCCTTAAAAATCCCGACAAGAGATTTTAGGTACGTTTTATGGTTGATATGTTGGACTTAACATAAGTGGATAGACAATCGATAAATTTTATGACAAGTCTCTCTTCTTTAATCCTGTACAATATTTTCAAATCCAACGTAAACAAAATATCCTAATGACATGTTTGGTACAAATAATTTTAGAGGCGTTGAATAGTATTAACTTCTGTGAGATTATAAGGAGTAGATTATCTCCTTCCCAATTAATTGTTTATTCGCTTTTGTAAACAATTTTTGCATAATTTTTAATCATAAAGCACATGTCTATAGACTCGAATATAAGTAAAAAATAATATATCGGCGAAAAAATATTCGAGGGCGCCGTCCATTTTTACCAATTCTAGCATTTAAATTTATACACACGCATTGTTGTGGATAAGAACATATCGTCACTCCACTTGTCGAATTTGCACACTTAAAAATATCTATTAATATAAATTTTTTTTATTGAAAAATTGGAAAGTTGCAATTATTAATGTTAAGATATTTTTATGTGGGAAAAACTGGAAAGTTCAAAATAAAACAAAGAGGCAAGAATCAAGTGGGAATGTCAAAGAGATTTTATTTCTAGAAGTGGAGATTTAGTCACCAAAATACGGTTTCTATTCTTCATTTTTCAGATTAATTGGATTTGCGGCAAAAATATTTTATGCATTTTGTGGTAGTGTTCTGATGGAGAATGCATGGCTAAAAAATAAAGAAAGTTTTGGATTTGCGCTTAATATTATTTTATTAAAAAATATGTGATTGAAATGAGATCAAATCACTGTTCAATAAAATATTTTGATGGGAAAAATAGAGTTCAAACACGGGAATAATGTGTTATATCGAGATCACTTTTCACATATGGTTAACAAATAGGAAAAATGTTTTTGTTCATATGTAAAAAAAAAAAAAATTTATTGAAAATAAGTTTGAAAAAGAAAATGATTTGAAAAATTAGTTTCAAAACTTATTATCAAGATATAATTATTCATTATTGTCATAATTATTTTCCATTGATTGAAAATTCAAAAATTCAAATGTAAATTTAAAACCAACGGTAAAATAAAATCTCCATTGAATCCCCCTTCAATATCACCCGTTAAAAGGACTAATGCACCCCTATCTTTAGCTCGCCAATATCTTAAAAAAGTTATTCGAGGAAATTTTTTTATTAGAGAAAATTTCTTGTCACAAACTTTAGTTAGCTTTCGTTTGACATCTTTTATTTTAATTTAATTTATTTCTCATACTTATTTTCAATCACACTCACACGATAAAATATTTTACACGTAAATCCAAACTTTTTTCTACTGATCATATTCTCGAAAAAATACTATTCAAAACAGTATTTCTAAAAGTTTACGGATGTCAAACAGGGGCTTATTAACAGAGTTTAATAGTTTTTGACTCGAATCCAAATAAAAAAAGACATCGAAATTCTAACACACCTTTGACATTATCAGATTCACGTAACTTGCCCAAAAAAGCTAGTTGCCGTCATTCGTTACGTCTATTCGCTTCACACAGTACATGATGCTGTGTGTGAAAATCCAAACAATATAAACCAAAAGAGCTGTTGGTAAATTAAGGCACCACAGCTGGAGTTGTTAAGGGTGTCAATCAAAGAAAATGAAATAGCACACAACAGTCCATGAAAAATCAAAGCCTCATGTGCAAAGGCGGCTCACCCCTCCCCATCCACCCCCCTGTTCCTACCTCTTTCCTGTGTGTAGTTTCTGTCTGCATTTATATACCATTCTCTATTACATTTCTCTTTGCAACTCTCTGAGTCTCAGACACAATAGAATGGAGACGGAGGTGATGATTCCGTCGCCCCCAGCGGACTTCAACTTCGACAGTGCATGTACATCACCTTACATAAGCGCCGCTTCGAGCCCTCAACGATTCGGCACTTTCTTCTACAGCGTCCCCACCAGCCCCGACCGTGCAGCCGCCTTCTACAACGAATTCAACCGGTCCTCCCAATCGGCAGTCCCATTTAACTGGGAAGAGAAGCCTGGAATTTCCAAAACAAAAGAAATAAACAGTACTTACTGTGCTGGTGAAGGTGATGCTGATCAGAGGGATACAGATTTTTCTTTTGATTTTAGTGGGCAACTTGAGAAAATTTCTTTATCTGCTGAAGAACTTTTCGATGGAGGCAAGATCAAGCCATTAAAGCCTCCCCCACGCTTACAATCTAAGCCCCTCGATTCTCCTAAATCACCTCGATCTCCCAAGAAAATGATCAAAGATGCATTCTCCCCACGCCACAGGAAGAAAGATTTCGATCCATTCGCAGCAGCCATTGAACAGACTCGTAAAGAAAACATTCAAGAAACTTCGCGAGGAAGAGAAAGAAGTAGTTCAAGTTCTAGACACAAACAAACCAGATCTTTATCCCCTTTCCGTGTTTCAGATTTGTTATTTGATCCCGATACCAATCGAGAAGACACCAAGGATTCTTCTAAGTCATCCTTGTTTTCATCTTCATCTTTCTCTTCATTATGGTACAAAAAATGGAAGATTAAGGACTTATTACTGTTCAGAAGTGCATCAGAAAGTCGAGCAACGGATAAAAATGAGTTCAACAAATACGTGTTGCTGAAGAAAAACCATCTGGATGACGTAAAGAATTCAAGTTTCAGATCTACAGACAGTGCAGGATCGGTGTCAAGTAGGAGAAGAGGGCCACAAATTTCAGCTCATGAATTGCATTACACTGTGAAAAGGGCAGTTTCAGAGGAGATGAAGAAGAGGACTTTCTTGCCATACAGGCAAGGATTATTAGGCTGCTTAGGCTTCAATCCCAATACTGTTCATAATATGAATATCTCTAAAGGGCTTGGTCCTGCTGGTTCTCTGCCTCGTGGGTGAATTCAGATTTTCTCAATCTATATTTTGTGAACTTTCATAAATGTGTAGAGTTATCGTTCCCGTCCCTCTAGTTTATACCACCCTCTAGTTTATACCACGAGATTAGTTTGTTCTTGGAACAATATAATTCAGTTTCTCGCATTCTAAAACATTAGAGCAGAGGTTTAGGTGCTCAACGATACAAGGATCCTGTTTGAATCCGACCTGTGTGCATGAATCAAATACTGCATCGACTCACGTGCATGTATCAAATAAGTGCTATGCATAACATAGCAATTTCAACAGGACTAGAATAGTAAACTTTCCAAGCATAAGATGCACATTATGTAGGGTCATGGTTTGATAGCTTGTGCAATCACCTTTGTGAAAAGTCAAAAATCATGTTCCATGATTTGGGGTGAATAGCTGGTGCGTGTAATCATTTATTCACAGTTGAAAAAGTTGATACTATTTATGATAGTAGCAGTGTTGCATTTTTTCTATTGTAAGTGTACAATATCGTAACAAGTAATATAGTGAACCTTTCAGTCAGGATTATCGTTCTCACGATAACTATACTTTAGACCTTAATTAAATTTTTC